CTCTCTCTCTCTCTCTCTCTCTCTCTCTCTCTCTCTCTCTCTCTGTCTGTCTCTCTCTCTGTCTCTCTCTGTCTCTCTCTCTCTCTCTCTCTCTCTCACACACACACACACACACATACACCCTTTACAAAAAGAACTTAGATCATAAATTGACAAATTATAATTGTATATGTTGATAGGATACAAAGAGATGTTTTGATATGCTGTATACATACAGTGTGGAATGATTAAATCAATATGATTAACATATTAATTTCAGATAATTATTTTTTGTGTTGAGAACATTTTGAATTGTTCTTTGCAATTTTGAGACATACATTATTAACTACAGTCACCATGCGGTACAATAAATCTCAAAAACCTTATCCCTTATACTGAAGCTTTGTTCCCTTAGACCAGTATTTCCTGGTTAATCCCCAATCCTCCAGCCCTGGTAGTCACCATTTGACATGTACATGAGACCACGTATAAGTGAGACCCTGTGATACTATCTTTTTGTGCCCAGCTTATTTGACTCAGTATAATGTCTTCCAGATTCATCTATGTTGTCAAAGATAGCAGAATTTCCTCTTTTGAAAAGCTGGACAGTATCCCATTGTATAGTGTCTCTTTTCTCTATCCTTTCATGTGATGATGGGCAGTTAGGTTGGTTACATAATTTGGCTAATGTGAGTAGGACAGCAGTGACCACGGGAGTGCAGGTACCTCTTTATGTGCCAATTTCCAATCCGAGGGATTTATAGCCACAAGTGGAATAGCTGAATTCTACTTTTATCTTTCTGAGGAACTTTCATCCTGCTCTTATTTTTATGATTTATGGAACAAGTATTTAAGGAGCATCTATAATGTACAGACACCACCTCCTGCAGGAGAGGGAGTACTCTGATTCAGTAGAGAGAGGACAGGAGCCAAGTCAGTAATTGCTCTCCTGGATGAATGTCCAGTAGGAGTGTTAGCAAATATAAGCATAAGACATATACTACAATGTCCACAATGCCCTAGTCATAATAGCTCCAAACTGGAAACTACCCAAATGTCCCTCGTGAGTAGAATGAATACATTGAGGTATATTCACGTAGTGGGGATATTACCAGGCACCAGACAGAATGAACTATCACTACTTGAAATGAGGTGGGTGAAACTCCCAAGCATGGTAGAAAATGAAAAAAACACCAAGCCCAGAAAAGAGTGTACTGCATGAGTTCATTATTCTGCAGTGTGTGCTGTGGGGGGTCCGGGCGGGGGTCCCCCGGGGCACAGTGCAGAGGAGCTCAGGGCAGGTCTGCCCAGCAGGATGTGCTCTGGATGAGAGCGCAGAGCACGCTGAACTCCCGTGATCTGTGCACTTCTTGTATGTCACTGAAAAACCAACAAGGAAGGAACAGGAAAGTCAGAGAAGGAGGAAGGAAAGCTGGAAGGGAACGAGGAAGAGAAGCATGGAGAAAGAGACAAGCAGGTTGAGCAGACTCCAGGTCCAGCCCTGGACAGAGAGGGAGACTGTCAACTCAAGCCTCAGTTTCTCCTCTGCAGAACGGACATCATGACAACCACCTTGCACCCACTCAGTACAGCGCAGGAGGACAGGAGCACAGGAACACAGTCGCTGCAAGGGGAACCAGACCGCGGCAAGGGGGGCTCCCTGTGAGTACAGGGTCTCCCTGGCCCTCTCCCGTGCCGTGTGTGCAGCCTAGCAGGGCCTGGTTCTGTGCGCTCGCCACATTTTCCTCTATTCTGTTTTATATGATTTTTTTGAGACAGGGTCTTGCAGTGTTGTCCAGATAAATATTTTGTTTTGCTTTTTACCAGTGTGTTTGCAGTACCCACTACTCACAGGCTTGTGTGGAGTTGGTCCATGTCCTCAACACGTCTCAGTTTCTTCTACATCCCTCTCTCCCTCTTCTCCATCTCTTGATCCCCTTCTCATTTGGGAAAGATCTATCTCCCTGCCTTCTGTTATCTGTCTTTTATTTTAGTATTTATTTTATACTTTGGGTTTCTTGTATGAGAAAATCTATGCAACAGTTAAGCTTGTGTGTCTGATTATTTCACTTAACACTATGGTCTCAAGGAGTATCCATTTTCCTATTGTTGCAGGCAGCTGAGTTAGTTAAAAATATTATAGGCAGTGAGACAGGGCTGGGTCACCAGTGGAGTCAGTGCAGATGCCTGGCAACTGCAGGGGGGGGGCACTGACACCGCCTGCTGTGGGCCGGACTTCAAGACAAAAGACCAAGCAAATGCACCCATATCCTGAGGATTGGTACCCTAAATAGTTTCCATCCCCCCAGGGAAGAGTCACTGCTCCTTAGGAATGCCTGCTTTCTACTTGACTTGCTACCCAATTTGTCTCTAATGAAATCAATTTTACCTGAGCTATTGATCTTACTGGCTAACTATAGCTACGTCCCACCTCATGCCCATCTGCCTTGTGGGTTCCCAGTCTTCCCCACCTTGAACCCATGGTTTTACTCTATAAAAGTCCCTGGAAAAAACAGTGCTTGGCACAGAAGCTTTCTTTCTCTCAATAAATATATTCTACTCTTCACCTTCATTGTTCCTAAAATTCATTCTTTGGTTTTAGAGAACAGGAACTCGCAGACATAGTAGGTTGAGTGTTTCATTCCCCTGTATCATTATGAGTGATTCAAGGTCATCTTTCTTGAGGGCAGAGTAGTTCTCCATCACGAGTAAACACCACATTTGCTTCATACATTCTGTAGCTGGACTTACAAGCTCCTCCCAAGATTTAGTTATTATGAATTATGCAGCTTACACAGATAGGCATGAATGTATCACTATAAAGTGATGTCTTTAACTTTTGGGGGACAATACCTAGGAGAGAAATACCTGGGTCAAGTTTAATTTCTACTTTTAGCTTTCTGAGGGATCTCCATGCTGATTTCCAAAGTGGCTGCCCTACTTTATATTCTCATCAACAATGGAAGATTGCTCTTTTGCCTATAACCTTGTCAGCATTTGTTATTATTTGGTTTCTTGATGATGCCCGTTCTTTCAGAAGTAAGATGGAAGCTCGATGTTTTGACTTGCATTTCTCTAAAGGTCAGCAATGTTTAACATTTTTTCCATGTATTTATTGGCTATTTATTTTTCTTCCTCATAAAGGTGTTCATTTCACTTGCTGTCTTTCCTGGTCTCTTTGTCAAAGATCAAATAGTTGAATGTGCTCGGGGCTGTTTCTGAATCCTCTCTTTTGTCCCACTGATCCACACTTGTCCAAACAAGTCTCGAACTTGTGGACTCAGGTGATCCTCCCACCTCAGGCTTTTGAGCAGCTATACTACAAGTCCGTCCCACCCCGCCCCTCACCTGAGTTGTCATCAGTTAGGGTACTGAGGAAGCTGGGCAGGTGAGAGCATCTCCTGGGCCTGCTGCTGCCCTTCACCAAGCAAATCCTCCATCTTTCTTATCACGGTCAATGTGGAAGAGCACAGTGTGACCAAAGCAGTGGCACAGGCAGAGCAGGGCACTTTGGAGAGCACGAACCTGGGACACTGCTCCCCTGCACCCCTAGCTCAGCACCAAGGAAGTGAATGAAGAGCCTTTCCTGGTGATGCCAGCCCAGACCTGACGTCTGGCTCCGAAAGTCTCAGAGACGGAGAGAGTCCACCTTGTCTTAATCTATGATCTTTGCCCTGACATCCTCCCCACCCCACCCTCTTCCCCACAGTCACAGAGCTCTGGTCCCCGCCTTAGCATCATCCCCTGACTTGCAAAGAATTACAGAGCCCCGGACTCGGTGTCTGGGAGGTAAGGAGTCCTACGCTCCCATCTTCTCCCTCGGCCACCCTTATCCCAGGGCTGCTGGGCAGCTTCCTTTGCCCATCTCCAGGTCCCTCTGTTGGGTTACTAATTCCCTATATTAAATCCTTCCCTTTTTTGTTATGCATAGGACCTACTTAGGGTGCTGTGATTGAAGTTTAAGAACAGGCAACATTCAACCATGGTGCTAGAAAGTGGAACAGCATCTGCCTTCACAGGTGGTGGGGACAGGGGAGAGGCCCAGAGGGACCTTCCTGAAGTGAAAGGATGCAGGCGTCAGGCATGCAGGTCACTCACTGAAGGCTGAAGATCTGTGTATTTAACTGTGTGTGAATCATAGCTCAGCAAAATCAGCTTGATAAAGAGAAACCCCTGCTCATATACTAAGCATGTGAGTCAGGGGAGAAGACCCCCATGCGCCCCAAGGGCACTTTTCCTTTCCTTCCACGGCTGCCCAGGATGTCGTGCAGCCAGCCGAGCTGCATCTCACAGCTGCTCCAGGAGAGGCTGTCTTTGGCCGCACCGGGCTTAAGCATAAACCTACCGCAGGTGGCTCTTCCTGGCTGCCTCTCTGGATCACTATGCCTCTAGCAGCCACTCCAGTTAGGTCCAAGAGGGGTCCTGGCTCTACCCAAACAGAAGGGCTGCTGCCACACACACACAGCCCACTTCTTCCCTTTCTAAGCAACCTCCTTATACCCCTTAGCAGGTCAGCCCGTGTGCTGCTCCTCTGTATGCTGTGGCCTGAGTCCTAACAGCCTCTTTCAGGGTGGCATATTCTTGCCTATGTGTGATTTGTCTCTCTGGTAGAGCACACTAAGAGCTGGCAAAACCAAAGGGCCTGGCACTGAAAGTGACCCAGAGCCCGGCTGGTGACAGAAGCAGAGAAAGGTGGAGAATTGCCCACCACTGCCATCTCCAGCCACAGGAAGTGTTCCAAGTGGCAAAGAGGGCTATTGACTCTACCACTGAACCTTGGAAGCTCTTTAGAGGGCCCCCAAGAAGAGGACAGACAGGGATGACGGTCATCAGCAAGTCCGATTTTCCTTTCTTACACGTGGCTAAGAATCTATGCAAACCAATGAAAAGTGGGTTCTAATTTCCTAGTTGGATCCTGGTACAAACACAGTTTCTATTTTTAAACAAACATGGGTTGACCATGGAAGAGGTAAATATTTGGGTGGTTTTTTAAACAATCAAACACAACGTGCCAAACAATCTCACACTTGACTTGGTTTATTCCAGGTTGTTCCCAGCCCCCAGCAGGGAGCCTTCGTTCTCCCTGCTGTTCTCTGTGTTGAGGAGCTAACGTGCCCAGCTCCCTGCCCCACCATCATGGTGCTCACAATGGTTCGGTCTTGCAAATACAAAGTAGATTTCATTTATTTTCCTGACTTTTTTTCAGGACACTATGATGTCACCTTGTGACATTCATAAGGAATTCAGCCACTCAGTTCTCTCCGGATGGGCAGGGCATTCTTGGAAAGCATAAGCCTGCCCACTGGTTTACACATAGCCTCCTAATGAGTTTACAGAACTCAGGGGAAGGAAAAGAAGGCTCAGAATATTCACAAGCTCCGCCCCCTTCACCACACTTCCGCCAAACGGCCAATCACGTTCAGCACCAGCACCTGCCGCAGCCTAATTATGAAAGGAATGGTCATTCCATCTCCTGCCCAGGGAAGCCAGAGAGAAAGCTCGCCGTGTGATGTGTGATGAGGCTGTGTGCAGGCCAACATTGAATCCGGAGTACTTGGAAACCTTGGCCAGTCTCCCAGGGTTTGAGTTAAAAGAAGGGGTCCAGACATGCACCCCACTGTAGCACAGGGTCCAGGAGAACCAGGCAGCCTTGGCATGTTCTTACCCTCCTGGTCCTGGGTGGTGAACCCAAGTTGGATTGCTGGTTGTCAGCATGGCCAGGGGCCATCTGTGTCAGCTCGGGGTCTGGGCACAGGGTTGCATGCCAGGGACAGTGGGCACTGTGTCTCTATTCCCAGCTGGCTCTAGAAGGCACCGTTCCATGGCCTGTGACCCCTGGCAGGTGGGCAGGGCCTGGACAGGCACAGGCGGTGCTGGGTCTCCAGTCGGCAGAAGCGGTTCTGGTTGGACACCCGGGTGGTCATGCCCAGCCCACAGGTGGTTGAGCAGGGACCCCAGGCTGTGCTCCATTCTGGACAGGGAACACCAGGGGGCAGGGGAGCAACAACGCCAGAAAACTGGTGTCCTAGAGAGGAAGAAAGTAGAATCAGCCAGCGAGAGCAAAGCGTGACAGCCATATCAACCAACTGCTAGTGGTCACGGGGGTCCTGGTCAAGCTGCTCAACCTCTCTGGACCTCAGTCTCTTCTCAGGTAAATTTCCCAATGGTGGATTGTTGGGACTCAATAAAATAATGGTTGCAAAGTGCCTAGCACAGTGCCTGGAACTTGCAGCCACCCTGTAGATATTAGGTATTAGGCATTTAGGATGGTTCCCCAGTAAATGATGAGTGTTCTTGTTCCTGGATCCCCAAGCTCCTCTAATAAATGCTGTGTTACAGACAGGACCGGTCACCTATGTGAGGTCGGGCTGTGACCGGGTGACAAGGATGCCAGAAGGAGATAGGGGACCACCAGTGTCTGGGCTGTGTATGCCTGCACCATGTCCTACTGTCCTTTGGTTTCTTGGGGGCATTTGCTCCAGGACCTCTCATGGATGCATACTTGAGTCCCTTGTATTATCTGTATGTAAACTGCACACATCCTCCCATAGGCTGTAGATCACCTTTAAGTTACTTAAAATACCTCATACAAGTGCAAGTGCAATGTAAATAGTTGTTATACTGTATTGTTTAGAGGATAATGACAAGAAAAAATTCTGTACATGTTCAGCACAGGCTCAGTTTTTATAATATTTTCAGTCCACAGTTGATTGAATTTATGGATGCAGAACCCATGGATGCAGATTGTGGAGATCAAATTGGACATACTGTTGCCTCCCCCTCCCCCTCCCTCTCCCCTTCCTTTCCCTCTCCCTTTCTCTCCCTGTCTCTTTCTTGTGCCAGACACGGAACACAGAGCCTCAAGCATGCTAGGGGAGCACTAAACCACTAAGCCACACCCAACCCCAATAAGAATAATTTTTAAAAAGCAACAACAAAGTCCCTAAAGCATCTGCAGCAGGAGGTAACTGTTCTCTTCCCACTTCTGCCCACCTGGGATGCATGTTTCATAGACAACTACTTTACCTGGCTCTGTTTTGAGTTTCTCTCTCTCTTTCTCTCTTTCTCTCCCCCCCCCTTCCTTTCTTCCTGTGCAGGGGATTGAACCCAGGACCTCACGCATGCTAAGCAAGCTTCTATCACTGAGCTACAATCCCAGACCTCTTCATTTCATTGTTACATTTTTGTGGTACTGGAGATTGCACCCAAGGCCTCTGAAATGAGCTCTGTCCCCAGTCCTTTAACAAATTTTTTCTTTTAGAAAAAAAAATTGAGACAGAATCTTGCTAAGTCTCTAACTTGTTCAGGCTGGGCTTGAGCTTGTGATCCTCCTGTCTTAGGCTCCTAGGGTGCTGGGATTACAGGTGCGGGCCACTGCATCCTGGCCAGCCCTTTTTAGTTTTTATTTTGAGGTAGGGTCTTGCTGTGTTGACCAGCTTGCATGGAACTTGTGAGTAGCTAGAGGATTCTACTTTTGATAAAGCCAAGTAATACTGTATTGATAATAGTACACACAATATTATTAATACTAGTATGTATATTATACTGTATTACTATATCATATCATATCATATTATATTATATTATATTATACCTCTGTAGTAAAATAGAAGGATTTGGTACCCTAATTCCTCCCTTCCCTCCTCATGGTACCACAGACTTCTATTTTTACTTCTCTGTGATTTAGAGTTGTTCTGTGGGTTTAAGAGACCCCCGAACTCCTGGTCCCCTTTCCACACCTGCTCAGCCTCCACCCTCGCCCACCTCTGAAGGGGCCCGGATCCTGGGCCTCAGGAGCCCGGTGACCCTGGTCACCCCGGACCTCAGCTGCCCAGTGGCCGTGATCACCCCGGACCTCAGCGGCCCGGTGACCCTGGTCACCCCGGACCTCAGCTGCCCGCTGACCGTGGTCACCCCGGACCTCAGCAGCCCGCTGACCCTGGACACCCTGGACCTCAGCAGCCCGCTGACCCTGGTCATCCCGGACCTCAGCTGCCCGCTGACCGTGGTCACCCCGGACCTCAGCAGCCCGCTGACCCTGGTCATCCCGGACCTCAGCTGCCCGCTGACCGTGGTCACCCCGGACCTCAGCAGCCCGCTGACCCTGGTCACCCCGGACCTCAGCTGCCCGGTGGCCGTGATCACCCCGGACCTCAGCGGCCCGGTGACCCTGGTCACCCCGGACCTCAGCGGCCCGCGGTGGCTCTGTCCGGCCGCCGCCCGCACTCACCTGGGGCCTGCAGCTCCGCAGCCTGGTCGCACACCCACTCGGGGCAGCACTTGCCGGGCAGCTCCACCCTGCGCGGCCGGGGACAGTCGGCGCTGGGCAGCCGCACGTCCTCGCTGCACAGCGGCAGGCAGGTGAGGCCGCCGTCCTGGCAGCGGCAGCGGAGCCGGCAGTGCGGCTGGAAGGTCTCCCCGTCGCGGTACCGGCGGCCGTTCACCTCGCAGCCGCCGTCGTCCTCGCCAACTGCGGAGGGAGCAGGGACCGAGCCTCGTGACCCAGGCCTGCGGGGACCCCACCGTGTCTGAGCCCTGCACCCCGCCAGCCTGCTGCCCTGCAGCGGATGGGGAGGGTCACCTGAGTCCCGGCACAGGGGGAGCCCGAAGACTGGCCTGGACCGGGTTTCAGCTCTGCCCTTTCTTGGCTGTGAGACCCCCCTTGCAAAATGGGGTACAATGGTACTTATTTCCCAAGAGGGCACAGACTCAGTGAAATGATACATGTAATGAATCCAACCAAAAAGAGACCTTCAGTGGGTCCTAGCCGCTGTTACTATCCGGGATACCGCTACAGATAAATACTATATAACTGATTTACACACTAGGATTCCGTGCAACAATCTCATTGCCCAACTGCTGCATTGTAAGTCATCGCTGTCAGGTCAGGGCTTAACTTTCCGGCTGTATGTTTTAGGTAAGTTACTTAACTTCTCCGAATGCCGCAGCCATCCAGTAATGAAAACAGTACTTAGCACCTTCAGCCACTTGAGGTGCTGTGAACACAGACACTGTGCTGGGCATAGTGGGTACTCAGGAGATCCCCAAATGCAGTCCTCAAGCTCTGGGCCTCATCGCCCCCGCTGGCACTGGCCATGGGCTGGAATCCAGTGCTCCTCCTCCCGTCCTGAGCTGGCTCAGAGCAGGATGGGGTGCACAGAACCTCGGGGTGAACGCCCAGCCCTTGGCTCCCACCTGGAGAACTCTGAACTCTCCTTATAACCCCAGATGTATCTATTGTACCCCTATGTGTGCTCCTAGACAGAAATAAGATGCAGTTTTGTCTCAAAAGCCTTGAGGGGCTTGTGGGGGCAGTGGGAGACAGACAGACGTAAAAGTCACCGAATCCAAGTCAGAAGGAGGGAAGAGACCTGGAGAGGTGCGGGGGCAAGGTTCTCAGAGTGCATGGGGGATGGGAGGGTCTGGAGGCTTCCTGGAGACCCTGTGACATTGCGGGAAGGGTTCCTCGGCAAGGTCATCCTGGGCCTTCCTCGGAGAACCTCAGGTAGGTGCATGCACACAGGAGGGTTTTGAAACCACCCTAGCTCCCAAAGCTGGCCGCTGTGGGAGCCAGGGCTGGATCACTTCACGTCTCTGACCTTGGAACCTGCTCCCCAGCTACTAGAGGATGAATGAGAAAGTGTATTTAAAGCATTTTGCCCAACGTCGGGTACACAGCCGATGCTAGGTTAAAGGCACTGGGATACTATTTATCCTTCCCAGGAAGGCGGGACCAGTGTCCAGTGCCTCTCCTGGCCCCACCAGGCCACAGCCCTTTGACTTGAATCCCTGACCCAGTGGCCTGGACCACAGGGTTGTTTGGTTCCCTGGAAACCACAGGGGCAGCTGCTCCTTAATCAGCACCCTGGCCCAAGTCCTGCTGCCACAGCCCTGAGGCCTCTAGGTCACTGGGGCATCCTGGTAAAGAGAGGCTTGTTTAGGAAAATCAACTGGAGGGGGGTGATTTTAGCAAGGTTTCTTGGCATCGGACCTGGCTGGGGCTGGGGGACAGTGATCCCTGGGTACCCCATCCTCATCATCTATGTGTATCTGTGTGTGCTCCCAAAGATCCTGAGGTCTCTCCAAACCATACCCTCTCGGAGTTGTGCTGCATAGTCACGCACACCCTCGGCTGCCAAAATCCCCACAATGCCTTCCAGAATTTCCACAGCCTCCTCCAGGCTCAGATCACAGTCTTGCTTTTTGGGGGTTCCCATGTCCTTCCTTTCTTTGAGGAGTCTGTTTCAAGGCCAGGAACCAAAGGGTGTAGGGAAGCCCTTTTGTTTGGGTTCAGTCTTTTTAACCTTCAGTCACTTGCAAACTCTCTGACCTCAGCAGGTGACTTAACCTCTCTGAGGCCTATTCCCTCAGCAGCAGAACAGGGATAAAGATAGACTTTACCTCGTGTCTGAGTATAATATGAAATTGTGCCCATAAAGGTTCTAAGCCACTCGTGGAAGTGACCAGCTTCCAGCCTCTGTGCTGATTTCCAGTCACTAAATCTGTACAAACACCCCATAGCTGTGAGACCGGGGTGGGGACAGAGCAGGAGGACCAGAGACTAAGTCAGTCCTCAGCTGCAGGTGTTTGCAGTCAGAATCAAGAGGGAATGAGAGTGGTCCCTTAATGAAATCACTGACACTAACATCGCCACGCTCTAATTGTGTGATGAATGTCGGGCTGGAAGGTGATGGGGCAAGTGCCCATAGAGTCAGATCCTGAGTTCAAATCCCAGCTGGCCATCAGGAGCCTGGGCAGATCAGTAACCTCTCTGTGTCTCTTTATTTCATTTATAAAGTGGGAGTGATATAGGTATCATATAGTTGTGAGAATAAATGAATTGATATTTATGAAGCCTTCCATACCTGGCACTTGGTAAACAGCTCAAATAAGAAAAAAAAAAAAAGAACTCTGCCCTGTGAATCACTGGGCCAAAGTGAACCCAAATAACAGGCTCTGTGTCTCTTCAGATACATTTCACCAGCAATCATCTGTGAGTGTAACCAATCTTACGTGTCTCCTACTGACTAAAGCATTGCAAGGATTTGCTATTGATAACTTTCCACGTCTAAGTTTTGTTGGGGACTTTTGGTCTTTTTTTTTTTTTTCTTCCTTTCTTGGTACCAGGAATCAAACTCAGGGCTTCATGCTTGCTAGGTGGGTGCTGCATCCCTAAGCTGCATCCCAGGCCTATGTTGTTTTTAACAAAACTTTTCCTGTGGAAGAACTCATTGTAATGATTCCTGAGCCTCTCTCTCTCTCTCTCTGTCTCTCTGTCTCTCTCTCTCTCATTTTTGTAAAAGTATGACATGCACTTAGATGCAAGAGGTAAACTGTTCTACAAAGCTTCTTATTTGGAAGAACTCTCACCTCTATTTCTCTGAAGCAGTGGTTTCTAATGGAGTCATGATGCCCCCGGAGCCCCTTGGCAGTGTCTGGAGACAGACTGTCATGACTCAGGAAGGATGGGAGGGCTGCTCCTGGCATCTAGCAGGTGGCATTCAAGGGAGCTGCTAAATGTCTGACAGTGCACAGCACGGCGCCCTGCAAACAAGAACTCTCTAGCCAAGAGTGTCACCAGGGCACAGTTGCAAAGCCCTGCCCCAGAGCATCTGAGGATGCCAAGGGCTGCGGAGAGTGATGTGAAATGTCGCATGCCCAAGGTCACTGGCAAAGACCACACTCAGGACTCGATCCGCAGTTCAAGGTGCCCGGTCCAGGAGAATGGAACTAGCTTGAATTTACCTGAAAAGGTTCCAAGCTGTGTGAAATGCAGTGTGTCAGCTAATCCACTGAGCCTAAGTTTCCTCATTGGTGAAATGGGCCTAACAGTACTTAGTGTCACAGGATTATTAGGAGGATTATGTGACTTGTACAATAAGCATTTTCCCACTGGGGACACATGCTGTGCCCTAAATAAGGGGCTGTCTTTTTATTTTCCCCTGTATAATAAGGATTGCTGACAGGGATGACATGTTCTGGGTTCAAGAGTCTGGGAGAGTTCCTCAGGAAAGAAGGTATTTAGACTGGACATTGAAACTGGGCTGTGGCTATGACGGAGGGACAGGAAGTGTCATTCAGAGAGAGCCTCATGGTCTGAGCAAAAGCCAAGGGGAGAGAGGCAGGCAGTGGCCCAGGGACCTATGGGCCCCCAGGCGCAGCTAAATGGATGTAGGGGCGAAGGTGGGGGTCAAAAGCTGCTTTTTGGCTCAGAGTCCATGGCCACGACCTCCCACACACACCCTCCAGGAGTCCCACAAGGGCAAACTTGCTTACAGAGACACATGGTCCTCCGGCTACCAGGGCCATCTCCGGGCTGGCAGACCAGGCCCTGGTTTGGGTCACAGACATGGAGGTGGTCACAGGGCTCCCCCAGCCGCCGTGCACAGACCTGGCAGCAGCCACAACCATCCAGCACCAGGGGCACCCCCGGTGGGCATCGTGGCGGTGGCCAGGGGCAGGCACACGGTGTCGGGCACAGCTGGGCACACACCTGCAGAGACAGAGACCTCACTCAGCTGCAGGATTTTGAGGTAGGTGGTGAGACCCTCCCAACTCTGCCAGGCTGAGTAGTGTGCGTCCCCATCACGGCCTCAGTGTCACACGGATCTGGCCTTGAACACTCGTAATCTCATGGTGCTCTTAACAAGCAGTGTAGTATTGTGACCATGAGCAAGGACCAGAGTTTCAGTCCTGTCTGTGCCCCTTCATTGCTGAGTGACACCTAGGCTGGCGGAGCCTGGGATTCCTTGTCTATGGCAGGAAACCAACCAGAAGGGCTCAGAGAACTGATGATAAAGTGCACCACAGCCTTAGTACATGGCCTGGCAGCTCAGGGCACTGAGCTCTGGTTTTTGGAAGAATCTAAATATGCCTCTCAACCCTGAATGCACAGCAAACCAGTCAGAAAATGTGGGGAAAAATCAGAATCCCAAGCCCCTCTGAGACTGACCAAAGCAGAAGTCCTAGAGGTTTGTGTTTGTTGTTTTTGTGATGCTGGGGATTGAATCCAGGGCCTCATGCACACTATGCAAACACTCTACCACTGATCTACATCCCCAGGCCATCCTTACCTTTTCATTTTGAGACAAGGCCCAGGTTGGCCTTGAATTTGCAATCCTGCCTCACTAAGCCTCCTGAGTAGCCAGGATTGCAGGCATGGACCACTGCGTTTGACCGGACTCTATTTTAAACCAACTTTCCGATGGTTTCTAAAACACAGCTAGGTTTCCAGCTGCTCTGCCACCATGTAAGCTCTCCCTGCTGCCATATACAGATGAGGAAACTCCAGAGAGGGAAAGGCACCTGCTGACAGCCGGGGGTGAGCAGCAGAGCTGCAGGCAGGCCCACACCCCACTTCCCTGACGAGGACCCAGGGACCTCGAATGTGGCTAGATTTTCCCTTCAAGGTTTGGATCTGAGAGATTCAACTGCCCTCCCCCCTGCCACAGGCCAAAAAGCAGAGAACACCCATCCCATGAACCAGAGGCCAAGGCTCCCTTTTAATCCACTTAAAGATCAGGACCCAGGGTGGGCACAGCTCTAAGATGTTCCCCACAGCCCGCCTGTGGAGGGCCAATCGTAAGCAGGATCGCCGAGGGACTAGAAAGCTTTATCTAGAGGAAAGATTCTGGCTTGGGAAGAGGAACTAATAATCTCATTCCTCCCGTGTGGCCCAAACCAGGTAATGACTTGTTTATGCTACCTGGTCTCACCGCAGGTCCTGCCGACCTTTCAGTTTTTTCTGCAGCTTCCAGAATCTGGCCACCAGGGGTCGCCCTGGGTTGGAACGCCCACCAAGGACAGCACTCTGGAATTTCAGCCCACTTTGACCCTCAGGATGTGGCCCGGACTGCAGCACAGAGTCCTCTGGATGCTTGTTAACGATGCAGCACCTGGGACCCTTTTTTATAACCCGAGTAAGTTTTAGTAAATCAGAGGTGCTGTGCACACAACTGACCCTGACCCAGGAAGCCATAGGCTGGACACATTCTGTTCTCCAAAGCAGAGGCTCCAGCTCCCTTGGTCATGGGTTGGTCCTTTCCCCTTGAACACTGGGGTACCAGGAAATAGGCCTGCTGAGCATCTGGGTCCTTCTGTGAGCTTTCACCACCTGGCTGCTCTCTGGATTCTGCAGGTTGTGACACCCAGGAGAACCTATTAATGACACAGTGACCATAGCAAACAGTGGTATCTTGCATGCACGTTGTGCCTGAACACTTTAACATATGTGCGATTGAACTCCCTATGTGAGGTCCATCAGCGTGTCCACTTCAAAGACAAGGAAACTGAAGGTCAAAGCTTAGTAGTAAACAGCCAGGAAGAGGTGGGATGAGGATCAGAATCCAGATTTATGAGAATCCAAGGCTGGAGTTCTTAATTCCTATGCCTACCTCTTGTCATCTAGGGGCTCCAATGTCAGCTAAGTACTTGCCTCAATTTACCCATATGTTTAAATGGACAATGACAGTCAGGGAGGGTGGCTTGATGTAGACACAGAAGGATAAACCCTCTCCGGCCTCCCTCTACCTCCACAGCCTCCCCAGCCACTCCGTCACCATATTAAAGTTATCCCACCAGGCCTCAGTCTCCCTCGATCCTTGATGGGGCACTCAGTGTGGACTCTTCTGGGCAAGAGTCAGAGTCCAGGTTGTACCACTGCCCGCTCTGTGATTCAGTGGCCTGTGATGTGGACTTGGTGGGCTCAGTCTCCTGCTCTGGCAGGAGAGACCGCCTCTCCCTAAGCGGTGACAGGGTTTAATTGAAGTCACAGCCATCCCTTAGTCAACAGGACGAAGCTTGTTCTCAGGTCTCTCTGCCTCATGCTCCTGTGCTCTGCCTGGAGCCCAGGAGTCCACAGCCTGCCTGGAAGCATCAGAATTCTCTCTGAAGATGATCCTGGCTTCATATGTTTGCCGTGACCAAGGCCCTAGGTTTCTGAGGCTTCCCAGCACCAGGGAAGAATGGTGCCATGGGTCCCCTCGCCATGAGACTGAACCTCAGGTCCCCTGCTTCAGCTACTCAAGCCACCCACCTGGCCTTGTTCCTGCAGCAGCAAAAGTCCTCAGCCTTTCTAAGAGCCCCAGAGGGAAAAGCACCTGCCTGTGCGCCTCAGGGGAACACAAAAATGTGTCGAGATCTCGGCTAGGGGGCTAGCCCCTGCCTCTGGAAACTCAGCATTTGCTAAGAGGACTATGAGGATACATAGCTGGCACTGTGGCCTTGGGCCAAGTTGGGGTGGACAGGTCCACACAGGAGTCCCCCACACATCTTATCTCTCCTGGGCTCTACTGTGTCTCTCTTGTATTACCCTGATGCTTCTTTGCTGTGTGAACTTGGGCAACTTTCTTGCCCTCTCTGAGCTTCATTTGACTGAAGCTGGGGTTAATGATTCTTTCTGGATTGTGCATGTTGGTTAACGTGGATGTCTTACAAGCCCTTTGAGGAATGTCTCTTGCAGCTATGGGGGAGATCATTGCTCCACCGAGGTGTGTCCTGTGCCCCCCAGCCAGGGTCACTGACTGAGGGAGTGTGGTGCTCTCATTAATCATTTAGCCACCAGCCCTCGATCCAGTGCTTGGAGACAGAGCACATACATCATGTCTGGATCACCTCGCATGTGCCCCTGCATTGTTACTGGGGTGGTGGGGACTGGCGTGGCTTATTTAAGTCTTCTTGTGAACATGCAGTGTGTTCTGGGCTGTGCTGATTATAGGGAGGCACCATGAGTGACTGCCACAGAGGCCTCGGAACATTATCTCCCCTCAACTGGGGCAGAAGCTGGGGCTCAGAGAAGAGAGGGGTCCTGCCTGAGGTCACACAGCAGAGCTGTCAGCTGACTGGGGCCAGGGAGGAAAGCAGGGCATGGTTATGGGACCTGTGCTCTGTCCAGCACGGGGCCAGCAAGAGCTCTGCTGGGGGCTCCTTGGCCCTGACTCCACCCCCACCCAGCGAAGAAAGCAGCAGCGTGGTCAGGGCCCGAGGCCCCTTACCTTGGAGAGGATGCAGAGGATGGAGAAGGCCAGAAGGTAGATCTGTGGCAGGCCTGTCATGTCACGGTGTCCCCACAGAACCAGCTTGGAGCCTGGGAAGCAGGACCCGTGAGTCTTTATGTTCCAGCAGCTGTGAGGTCACTCCCGGGCATGCACACACTCACACCCACACACGCCCACACCCACGCCCACTCACACACACACACACACACACACACACACACACACACACGCACATTGGCCTCTCCTTTCCTTGCTCCTCTCCCCATCCTCATGACCCAGTGATGACCTGTTTACCTGAAGGTAAGACCACAGAAGCTACCATGGGGGCGCCTGCCAGTGAGTATGTGTGTGTGTGTGTGTGCGTGTGTGTGTCTGTGAAGCCAGAGCCAATGCCAGCACCAAGAGCCCGCGGCAGGCTGGCAAGGCCCTCTCTAGCTCCTCCCAGGAGGGCTTCGGCCCACCCCTCTGCCAGAGCTGCTGCAGCCCCAGCTAGCCCGAACCCTGCCCCACCCCAGGGGCTGTGGATACCGGAAGCTTCGCCAAACACCCCTTCGTAGATCTGACTCGAGGTCTCCAAAGCCCTGTGGCCTGGACTCTGGGCAGCCTCAGCCCGGCCTGTGGTTTCTGGCAGGGAGATTGGCTGCTACCCAGAGGTGGGTGTGACCTAGAGCAGAACTTTCCTGGGCAGCTGGTCTGCTCTTGGCTGTGAGGGGCCTCCCCAGCCTGCTTCCCCTGCAGAAAGTGGCCCGAAGTGGGTGAGCTCAAGCTGGCTGGACCTACTGTGTTCTGGGCACTGCCAGATAATCTAGTTGAACAAAATCCATTTTCTTTAGTTCAGCCAATTCTGAGATCTCTTCTGCAGGGTTCACAGCATAAGCTAGGGACAAAACCAAGAGAAAAACAATAGGCAAAATTGGAAGGATTCTTGGGAACACCGAGGAGGATCTCTTGTACAGACCAAAAGTGAGAGGAGGCTTTCTGAAGGAGGTGTCATTGCAGAGAACCAACAAGAGCGCAGGTTAAGGAGGTGGAAGGTTCCAGGCAGAGGAAACGGCATGTGCAAAGGCCCGGAGTCAGGCACAGCATGGCAGCCTTGCATTATCCGGGTGCCAAGGCACCTGGCAGGAGTGGAGCTTCCTGATCAATGGAGGTGTGTGTGGAGTGCAAATTTTCACCTCCGGGACTGTGGGTACATCTGCACTATCACAGCACTGGGGACAGGGATGTGAAGACGCGGGCGGGAACAATAATCAAGATGATGTCACCGAGTTGGGCGGGGAAGCCTGTGGTCCCCACTGTCTCCACGTGCACCCAAGCTGCAAAGGACAGAGCTGGACAGCAGGAGGCTCTAGAATGGATGGGCAGTTGGTGGGAAAGAATTTAATGAGACCCTGTCTCAAAATAAAAATTTAGAAAGGGATAAAGTTTTAGCTCAGTGGTAGAGCATCCCTTGGTTTAATCCTCAGATTACATACACAAAAATACAAACTGGTGGTCTGTCTGACCTTCAAAACCTGTACCTTAGTGTACAGGCAATTAAATAATTAAATAATAAAATATAATTAAATAATAAAATAGCAATTAGAAAGTGAAGTTCCGAGGGGTTAAGAAACTTGTTGAAGATCGTGCAGTTAGAAAACATAGCCAGGGGGCTGGGGATTTAGCTCAGCGGCATAAGCACCTTCCTTGCAAGCAGGCAGTTGTGAGTTCGATCCCTGGTACCGATAAAAAGGAAAAAGACAAAAAAAAAAAAATTACTGAGCTTTTGTTCGATCATAGAGCAGAAGGGTTTGTAGTGTCACTTTATGAATGTCATTCTAAATGCTTTAATTCTATAACATGAACAGCTATTTCTAAGATGACAATGTGTAACTTATCAACCAGCAATTTCTTACCGTTTGTTTTTCTGTAAGTTTGTATTATTTCTACCCTTTTAAAAAAATCTCCATGTATTCTTTTGTTTCCTTTTCTTTAAATTAAAAAAAAAAGAAAACATAGCCAGGCTTTTGGAGCAGGTCTATAAGATGCCAAACTAAGTTTGTTTTTGTTATTTGTTTTAGAGTTCTCTGTGATACATTTTTACACGGAGGGATAACATATACAGAATATTGCTGATGGTGCACTAGTATAACATGCATGGCTCCACGGCTCTTCACAGCCACGTGACACGATGACATCCGCATGACCACATAATGGCTGCCCAGAGTAAGCTGCATTTCAGAAGGGTCCACGAGCCCCTTCCAAAGCCGTACCATCTGCCCTGACCAGGTCCCCACTGCTGTGAGCACTGTTGCAGTGGCTCTTTCTCCCCAAGGCACAGAGCTAGGCTGGGTCTTCCTCTGAGAAGAGAAGGAGGGGTTAGGAGGGATGGAGGACTCTCTGTCGGCCTGAGCAGCAGGACAACGAGGACTTGGTGGGCTGGCAGACAGCTGGAGGCGGCCTGAGGTGAGCCGTGTCCTGAGCCTGCGGTCTTCTGAGTCACAGCTTGGTCTTCCCTGGCCCTCTTCCTCTCTAATCCTGAGGATGGAAATGTGTGGGCAGGGTGTGGGCTGCAGAGGCTGGGAGGCCTGGCCAGCTCGAGGAGCGTGCAAGCCTCGCCCAGGGCAATGAAAGCGCCAGTGTGCCTCTGCACACAGCTGGATGTCACTGGGGAGGCCATGGCAGGAAACCATCCTGTTGGTTGGTTAGTGGGGTTCGGGTTTCCACAGTGCCAAGGTGGGCACCAGAGGGATGTGAGAGTCCAAAGAACCTGTAAGTCTTTGGACAGCTGCTGCAGCCACCCCCTGTCCCCCTAAAGTAAGGCTCCCAAAGGCAAGCAGGTTCACAAGTCAAAAGGTCTTGGGTTCAACTGCTAATTCTGTGATGAACTTACAGGCCTGGGGACTAGGGAGAGGCAAAAAGGTGCCTCCAGCACAAATTGTAAGGAGGCTGTCAGTTTCAAGTGTCTACTGTGCACCTGTACAATCCCACAAGTAGGCATCTCCTTAAAAGTGCATTTAATTACTTCATGGTAGGAACTCAGTTGATATTTGTTGGCTCAGTAAATGATAATGGTCTATCATGAGGTTATGCTGAGGTCACAAATAAACTCCCGAATCTCAGTGGTTTAACCACGGAAGGCTTACTTCTTGCTCACGAAAAGTGCAGGGTAGGTCACCAGGCCCTCTCCACCTCAAAGCAGCATCCTGTGCTCTTCCCTGTCCAAATGTGCAATCTGGGACCTGCAGCATCCACCTCACCGGGATCTGGTTTGAAATGCAGGCCTGAGCCCCTGTTCCAGGCCAGTGACCTCCAAGGTAAAGAGAGGAATAAAGCAGTGACATCATCACTTTAGCTCATTGGCCAGAACTAGTCACATGATGGTAACTTAGCTGCAAGGGATGCTGGAAAGTGCCATCTTTCTGTGTGTGTCCATAAAGAGGACTCAGAGTGTGGGACACACAATATTCTCTCCTAAAGGTACCTTCAGATCTGAAATGCATACTTTTGCTGCAGTTTCTCATTAAAAAAAAAAAAGGCAGCCTCTGTCCTCTTTCAGTGCCAGGCCTGACATGGTAGGGTGTAGGAAATGCCACTGGAGAGCAGGACTTGGGAAATGTACCAGGTCAGGAGTCGGCTTTGGGAGGCCAGGAAGAAATGCGTGTGGTTGGAAGGACATGGCTGCTTCTGGCCAGTCACAATTTCTCAGCCCCCTGCCTGCATCTCTGCCTCTGCATCTATCTCAACTGTGCCACAGCAGTCTACAAGGTACCTGGGGAGGCGGGAAGGTAG